ATTTTGTTCAGTTTAGATGATATTAGGATATCAAGATGATTGAGTTTCCTTTCCTCATCACTGTGTTTACTTGTGCAGTGGAAATCAAATTCAGGAAAATCAGTATATGGTAAATTTCTACTCTCTTTTTGGAGAGTAGGCAAATTCTCTCGGGAGGTTTTCCTGGAAAGACAATTTTAGCTTTATTTGCATCTGTTTCTTTTCTCACTGTCCTTCCCCGGTCTGTTGACAAATGCTTTTTCCTAAAAACCCCTTATCCTTTCCTTAGAGTTTCAATCTGTCAACCTGTAGCTTTGATTTAGCCCACAACTAGTTTCTGTATGACTTGCCCACGTTTCATTCGTTATTTGTGTTTGTGCTTTCTGTTTGTTGTAGTTCTTCTCAAAATAATTACTTACTGTGGCCTGAGAGATGTGGTACAGGAGGTAAGACGCTTGCTTTGTGTGCAGCTACCGCAGTTTGATCCCTAGTACCACATATCCCCGCTAAGCACTGATGAAATGACCCCTGAGTATAGAGCCTGGAGTAGCCCCCAAGCATCACTAGTTGTTGCCCCAAAACAAATAAGTTAACAGTTACTTGGTAAACATTAGAATTCAGTTTTACCAGATAAAAATCTGTATGTCTGACTTCTTTGGTTTTTTTTTGGGGGGGGGGGGGTGACTTGTTGCAGAGAGGGCCCAGAGAGGACCTCCTAAGCAGTGCTCAGGGACCCCATGGGCTACTCCTAGTGATCCTTGGCCAAACGGACTGGCAGTTTGGTGAGAAAGCCGGTGAAGATGGCATTGCTTAGATTCTTTGGTGCTCGGAAGGCCATGTGGCGCCAGGCTCAAACCTGACATGTTCTCAAATCCCTGTACTGCTTCCCTATGCCTGAATGTCTAACTTCTTTAGGGGAAAAAATGTTTTGGGGGGTGGGTGCTAGAGCGATAGTACAGCGGGTAGAGCATTTGCCTTGCACGTAGCCGACCTGGGTTCAATCCCCAGTATCCCATATGGTCCCTCAAGCACCACTAGGAGTGATTCCTGAGCACAGAGCCAGGAGTAACCCCTGAGCATCACCAAGTGTGACCTAAAAGGGAGACAAAAAGAAAGGGAAAATAATGTTTTTAAGAAGGAAGCTTGCATCTTACTAGGCCTGTGTTTCACGTGGAGATCTTGTGATGGAGTTTAGTGGTCCCCATCAGATGAGACATCGGCCCCTTTGGTTTGACTGCCCACCCTCTGCCTTACCGGTAGGAATTTGACTGTAGTCCCTTGAATAAAATCTAACTCATTTTTAAAGATAGGAGTTAGTTTTTATATAGCACAGATAAAGTAAGTAAAGTCCCTCCCGTTGATCATCGATTTGCTCGAGTGGGCCCAGTAACGTCTCCATTGGAGACTTTGTTGTTACTGTGTTTGGCATATCGAATACATCACGGGGAGCTTGCCAGGCTCTGCTGTGCGGGCGAGATACTCTCTGTAGCTTGCTGGGCTCTCCGAGAGGGGCGGAGGAATCGAACTCGGGTCGGCCATGTTGGCCGCTTGTAAGGCGAACGCCCTACCACTGTGCTATCGCTCACTTTCTTAATACATGATCTATTACTATTGCTGTTAGCCAAGTGTGTTAATAATATAAAGAGCAATCTTGAAATATATTTCAGCTTTTATGCATATGTTTATTTTGCTCATATATTTTTGGTATGTCTTCATCTTTTCTGCTCCAGACCCATAGCTTCTGTCAATTCCTAGATATTAGAAAATCCTTGATGAAGTATCAGAGATAAGAATTAAATATTTTTGTCTCCTTTTACATATTTATACGCATCTTCCTGGAATTGGAGAAATTGGGAAGATGGGTAATGAGCGTAATGGCACGTTAGGAAAAAAAATCATGACAAACACAAAATTGCCCAGTAAAATATCAGCCACAATTAATGTGCTTAAACATCTTAAAACTCAGTCTTAAAATAAAATCAACCCCAGAGTTTCACAGTGTTAACATTCAAGTCTCAGCCTGTCATAGTTGAGGTTATAAAGGTGGTGAGTTTATGTTTGAAAACCATTTTATGCAGCCTCACATCATTACTAGGGTGGTGACTATTATTTTCATTTTCCTCTTTGGGAAGAGAAACATGACACTAGATGGAAGTTGAGATAGGAGAGAACAACTCTGTATCTGCCTCCTTTGCAGCACGTCCGGTTGACATTTTTGCTGTAGGAGAATTGCACCCTAACTCAGTACCCCAACGCTTTATGTTTTCTGTGGTGATATGTGCTGCTTTTGAACAAACTGGTGGAGGGGGCCAGGGTTCAGGGGTGTCTTACTAGGAAAAAAATTAAACCCATATCCCTGAATGACTGTGAGGCATTGGAATGTTTTACTCCATGGGTAAAGCATGGTAAGTTTTTGCTCTCTAAGAATACATTTCTGACTGCTGCTTTTATGCAAAAGATTTTGGGTAAACAAAGGACTTGAAGGTATTCATAGCTAATTTCTAAGTAAGCCATTAAATCATTTATCAGTAGAGGACTTGATGTAAACTTGTAGAAAACAGACATTTCCACTGAGCCCTTAGAAGAACAAAAAAAAAACCAAAGGTGTCAGATCCAGCAGTTCTAATCCTGACTTGGTATACTGTGGTATCCACGTGCCACTGTGCCACTGTACTTAGCAAAGTGTCCTCCTGACACACTTCTCCCCTTGAGACACATGCTGGCTTATGCTGGCTGGCATTATATTATAGACCAGACTGGATCCGCTTATTTAAAATACCCCATTTAAATCAGATTGAACTTGATCCCCTCACCCCCCACTTCTCTCAGGAAACAAATAGGTACTATCTATGTTAGTTAATATAACTACTCTCTCTTATACTTTCTTCTAGGGCCTTGATTTCCTTTGCTTGTGATATTTGCCTATAATAAGTATCTTATTTATGAGACTGCTTATTTCTCTAATAGGTAGCAGACAAGAAATTAGTGAAAGCATATCCCATGGAGAGAGTATACCAGATAAGGTGCTTACCTTGCATGCAGCCAACCCAGCTTCGGTTCCCAACTCCACATAGGGAGCCCCAAACCCCGCCAGAAGTGATTGGTGAATGCAGAGCCAGGAGTAAGCCATGAACACTGCTGGGTGTGACCCCAAATCAAAAATTTTTAAGTGAAAAATTTTAATTTTCAGCATGATAGCTGGATTTATTATAAAAATTCCTTATAACTCAGAAGTCTTACTTGGATCCTTGTCTTGATTTTTGGAAAATACAATGACCTCGTGCAGTTTTTTAATGGCTGCTAGTTTGAAGTTATTTTTCCTCTTATGATCACCTAGGATAAAGAAGCAGAAATAATAGCAGACGGTGTCTGTATATCAATCGCTTGGAATGTAAAGATAAAAATAAATTTTTAAAAAAAATATGTTTATTCCCTCAATTCTCAGAGGAGGTCCAAGCCTTTTCTTTAAAGTTTCCCACATGATTGTGGTGCACAGTCAAAGTTAAGAATTACTGATGAGCCTGTGGGTTTTCAGGCTGTTTCCCAGAGTTCCTGAAAGGGCCTTAAGGACTGCCATGTCCATTTTATCCTTTCTGCTGAGTCTTCCTTTGTTTGTTTTATGCATTGACTTTCTGCGTAGACTTCAACTTTTAAAAATGGGTGTGGGGATGTTCCATTATTTTGAAGGAAAAGTTCTTTACCATGTCTCTGGACCTAGGTCTTATGCAAGAATGGGAAAGTTTTTGAGGATGGCTAGCACTGAATTCATCTACAAGACTCTGTCATTTAACCTCTGAGGAACATAGAGAAGGGAAAGAAATTTCTTAGTAATTGATAATTGCATCATGTGACCTAGGCTTTCCTCCAAACAGAAAAGCCTCGTTCAGTAAAATTCCCGAGTAAAAGTCAATGCAGGGCTACTGGAGCTAGCTTTCAAGAACTTAATTTAGCAGATTATCTTTGTTCAGGTCCTCATTTTTTTCTTCCATTGAGTTTGAGACTTCTCCAATTTACCAAAACCAATGACCAATACTCTACATTGTTTAAATCTTATCAGTTCTCTCATTCAAATGCCTGCTCCTTAATGCAATAGCTTCTAGACTGAAGAAAATAATTTCGTAGGAGTTTGCTATTAGCAATAATAATTTATATGGTCATTATAAACAAACCGTTTGTACATGTCAGGTATAAAAATACTGTAAACTCTTTGCTATTCCTCCAGAAAAAAAATATTTAAATCATAGAGATTTAGCATCTAATGTTAGAATTATCTTATTCTACCTTCTCAACAGAATAAAATGCGGAACTTTTTTTATCTAAGAGAATTACTTGTTTGATATTAGAACTATGTACAGAGTTTATGGAAAGTTTTCCTTTTAAGTACTATATTAAATCTATTTCCAGAAAGCCAGGTGGTATATCTGTCTCTTGGTAGGGTAGGTTGCATTACTTTTTTTTTTTAATGTAGGTCAGATCAAGTCTAATTAAAACTGTTCTTCTGCTTTATCTTTTATTATTTAAACATTCATTGCCTACTGTGGTCTCACTAATGGACTAATTTCCTGAGATTATAAATTGGCATGCTTTCATTTTCAGATTCCAGCCTCTCATTTTTCAGATTTTTTTTTACATATTCATTTTATGCTGTATTACAAAATAAATTTCTCCTCTGAAATCATTTGTCCCTTATAATTAATGAATAAGCTGTGCATCCAAGGATGTTTATCCTAACGGCACCAATCTTATTTCATATTTTTAAAAGCAGCCATGCCTTTAAAAGACGAAGTTGGCAAGTTAGTTTTACTTGGAATAAAAAAAATAGCTATTGCCCATTTCCCAAAACAAATTAGAAAAAGTTAAATTTTTAAATTTCTATAGCAGTTCTATACTATAAAATTGCTATTATTGCCAATTTTTTGGCTATTATACTCTTTCTTATTATAATTTACAATTTGGACCAGAAAAGTATAGAAAGAGCATAATTTTAAAACATACAGCATAACTTTTTTTTCTTTTTGTAGCATTAATCTTATCACTGGTCATTTAGAGGAACCAATGCCAAACCCCATAGATGAAATGACAGAAGAACAAAAAGAATATGAAGCCATGAAACTTGTCAACATGCTTGATAAACTTTCCAGGTATTGTATTCCCATCCATTTTTTGCTTGGTTTCTAAAAATGTTCTATTTCTTTGTCTCTCTCATTGAGAGTTACCATAGAACAGCAACTCCAGAGCTCCACGCTGATTGGAACAGGGAGTCCCATGCAGCAGTAGTTCTCTCTTTGCTACCAGGGTTTTTCTCCACGTGCCGCTTCTGGATGTGCATCCTTAAAAATTGACACTCTCAGAACTAGGATAGTAACTGCTAGATCACTGTGATACTTAACCCACTAACCTCCCTGTCTTCAAAAAGATGCTGAGTTAGGGTCAGTGGTTTTGCTGCTTCTTGTACTTTTTGTTTTAGTCTGTTTTGGGGATTTTTCATTCCAAATCATGATGCTTTTTATTTCTTTCATTTTCGGTGTGCAACTTTGCCATTCTCTCTCTTTGGGTTGCTGCTGAGAACCAAGAATTCTAAAACATAATGCACCTTTCAGGATAAAGTAAAGAATAGCGCAAATGATCGACTTTCTGAACGCAAGCAGTTGTGCTAATTAGGGGTTCTAAGAACAGTTTCCCTTTCTTGCTTCACGCTTCCTCCCCACTCCACCCCCACCCCCCGGAAAATAGCCAACTTTTAAAAATAATTAAATATATTCTAAATATCATCAACTAGTTGCCTTGGAGGGGTTATTAGAAAATATTAGTTCTTTTCACACTTGGCTGAATTGCTCTATTTTCTGGGTCATACACTGAGGCACTGTCTCTTTTAAGGTGTCTTGGGTGAGTGCTTTTGTGCGGTGCACGGCTTCTGCCACACAAAGGTGAATTCCTTCTGGTCATCATCTTTTCCACAACAACTTTGTAAAGACAAGCAGCCCTCCTCAAGAGAGTTAGCAACTGGAATGGGAAAGCCACAAAATTAACCAGTGAATGGATAGGTGTATTAAACAAGCAGAAGCTAAGAACATAGCGGGTAGCTTAGCTTAAAATGTCCAAAATGAGGTTGGCGTGTGGACTGTGGCTAGCATGGGTACTTGGCTGCTGCAGAGTCTGAGCTCTTTTTAAGTGATGCTGAGAATGTATGAGAATGTGATAGAAGTTACTTCATCATCTATAAAATAGGATGACTAGAACCTCATGATTTTTCAACTAGTCCTTTGATTCTTTCCCAGAAAGATTAGAATTTACTGGAACTTACTGTTACCATGGCCAGCAGGAATTATTAGCTGTTTGCAAATAACTTTCTTCACACCTTTGTCTAGAGCAGACCCTTTCCTTCCCTAAAGGAATTTACAAAGAGAAGATACTAGTAGAGCAACCCTTAGCGTTAAGTCCTGAGCCCTGTGATGGAAGCTGGAATATAAATGAGGATCTTAGTGGAACATTAATGTGCTGGGACATAAATCAGTAAAGCTGCAGAGATTTTATTTTCTTACCAATCAGATGAGCTCTTAAAGGTTAACACAGGTGCTGTTCAATTGGCTTATATATCCTGGCTGGGTAAACTCCAAGCTAAGAAAGTGGGATAATGCAGTATTATCCAGGTACTTCACATATGGAGAGGCAAGATCATATCTTGATCAGATCTTAAGGCATCCCTATAACAGGACATAAAAATGAAGGTGTTAATAACTCATTCTCTTTCATCTGAGGGAAATTCATATATTCTCTACAAAACTGCCAAAAAACAAATATACTGAAATCAACTTTAAAATATTCAGACCTCCCATTAGTTTAAACTCTGCCTTACAGAAAGTACATACTCACTAGAAGCACCCAGCACATGCCCAACTCAATCTGGAAAGAGAAATCAATTTTTCGTGTATAAAATCTGGCTAATACCTTGTGTTCACTTTGATGGTACCAATTTGGCCACTAAAGTAGAAGCAAAAGGCAACCTTCAGAGTAGTTACAAATATCATACCTTTTTGCATGATGTGTGGTGGGGTTTTTACACTGTCTGTCTTTGTGTGCTTTCTAACATTTCCTCTCACTAATAACCGTAAGTGATAAAACTGAACAGAGAGCAGCAGGAGGCATTCCAGAGCAGGAATGCAAAGAATGAAGCCATTCTTTATGCATCATACATGTTTGTCTGAAGTTTATTCTCTCTTTCCCTATTGTTTGTTCAGTTTTGTTTTGTTTTTGTATTTTGAGGTTAAAAAATGCCATATAGTCAAAGTAGACTAGAGTAGAATTCTAGGAACATTTATTAAGCAGCTACTGTGTGCTGATTCAGAGGTTAGCATGACAGTCTCTGTCTTTGGAAAATAGACATCTTAACGGAGGAAAACTCACATTTTAATGGAAGAGTAATCTAGTCTGAATTCAAGGTAGAAAGTAATAACAAAATAAGATCTGTGTTAACCTGTGTGCCCCAGGAAAAGCTGTTCATTCTGTCTGGATAAATGAGGACTGTTTCACAGGAAAATTAACATTTGTGCTCAGTCTTGAAGTTTAACAGGTATTTAATAGGCAAGTGGTGAAATAAACATTCCAGATGAGGGAAGTTTACTTTTGCCAATAAGATGAATGTTTGGTATTCACATATGCATCTAATTCTTCTAAAGAGCTCATGTTGTCTTACCATGATTTGATTAACATATTATCAGATTGATATGTGAAGGAAAGGAAGGCCCAACAAATTGCTTAGAATTTTCCAAGCTAATGACTGGCAATAACCCATTTCCTTTAACAGTTTATAGAGCATTGTCACTTACATTCTCTTTGTAGCTTTATAATAAAGTAAAACCAGGAATTTCATTTTCCGGAACTCAAGTCCTTTGCTTTGTCCACTGTGTTGCTGTCTGAGTCTTGAATCAGTGTTTACCGGAACACTTCCTGCTCATCCTCCTCAACACTGCTGGTTAGCTCCTATCACTCTCCCTGAGGAGATTCGCATTCCCCCTAGTCCATATTTACGCTGGAGTGTTACTATAGCTTTATCTGACTAACTTTCCTTTTCAAAAAATGAGCTCATTTGCTCCTGGGCCTCTACTGAACAGCATATGAGTACAGGTTAGGGTTGGAGGTGATGTGGCCAGTGAATGGACACTAGACACTTCCTTTTTTCCATCCTTAGGAGAGCAGATGTGAAGGACCTGCACCAAGATGGTGGTTAGCAACAGTGGCCCGTGCCAAAGCACTTACCACGGGAATGACTAAGGTTGGTCATGCCAGATCCCATTACTGAGCCTGGTGTAGAACGTAGATGTGATTTACTACCGAACCTATAAGTACCCCTGAAAGAAAACTGAAATTAAATTTCTGTTCTTCTTCCATGCTGAACACAGCCCCCTACCTTGAGGCGTTCTCAACCTTAGACCTTTACCTGTGCTATATTACCAATGATCCTGGAGAGATTATTGCTTACTTTCTAACCATGGGATGCCAACTGACTTGTTTTCCAAGCAATTTTGGTGGGGTTGTGGAGGTGTAAGGCTTGTATTTGTGGCGGGTATAGATAAAGAGGTTGGCAGTGGATTTCCAAGATTGAGAATAACCTGAACCCTGTCAGTCCCATCATGTCTAGCGAGCACAGTGTCTTGGATACTGTGGTTTCACTTGTGTGAAGACAAAATGACTACAGCTGACCCCAAAATTTTAAGGCCAGTTTTTTGTTCTCTAAAGAAGCCATCAGAGCTTCTTTAGAATATTCTTTAGAATTCTTTAGAATATTGAACCTTCTTTAGAATATTCATACAATATATTGGAATACTGTATGACTGAAACTCAGTCATGAGTAGCTTGTAACTGTATCTCATGGTGATTTAATTAAAAATTTAAAGAAATAAAAACAAATAAGTCTTTATAGCTTAAGACTATATTTTTACTAATTCCTTTTCTTAGCAAGATATTGTAAAATTCAGGACTGGAAAGGAATTCTGTAAGATACTTGGACCCACAATTGTCTCAAATATTAGGATAAATCACTTCTTTAATATAAAATTATAATTGTAGTTATCAGATGTATTTAGGTCTTAGTTATGAGAAAGTTTGATTTTGTCTTAATCTGAGAGTAGAGTTGAAAGAAGGATGGAATTTTCCTGCCTCTCCACCTCTGCTTTCTTCTCTGAAGTGAAAAAAGTAATAAACTCTACAACTTCAGTGGGAGATTAGAATGGGGGTCGTGCGTGGTTAAGCAGGTTTGGTGTGGCTAATACAATTGCCTCCGCCTTAACTGCAGCACACCATTATATGGTACTGCAGCCTTCTCTAGAAAAAGGGAGAGGGGATTGATCGGCTTACACTTAAACTAACCTGGGGAAGTAATACTTCACATTTCAGTTGTGTTTGGACTTTTCTAATATTAACCCTTTTGAGTCCTTAATTGGAACTAGGACTAACTACTCTTCTTCCTCTCCTCATATTCTTCTCCCTCTCCTTACTCAAGATACGTTGCTTTTTTTGCTTATATGCTCTACTCTAAAAGTATATCATCTAAATTTTACACTTACATAGTATTTCTTTACCCATTTCTTCCTATTCTCCTTATCTCCTTATTTCCACCCCAGCCATTATGTACAATTTGGGACATGACTTTCTGAATAAATGCAAGCAATATTATAGGAATAGTTTCCTAAAACTCAGGGATTATTTTTAAGTTTACCAAAGCTGATAGATGACATCCTATCCTCATGATAAAAAAATAATAAAGATGTTGTTTTTCTGCATACTAAGTACTTTAGTCTACTTACAAAAATAACTAATTACACACTTCTATGATGAGTTAGCCAAGCCACTACTTTTCAGTTACATTTTATTTTTAAAGCATTATGAAATCTGTTGTAGGTATGAAGTAAAAAGACTTTAATTGTTTACAAAAGAAATTGTTTGGGGGCCGGAGCAATAGCACAGCAGGTAGGGCATTTGCCTTGCACGCGGCCGACCCGGGTTCAATCCCCGGCATCCCATATGGTCCCCCAAGTACCACCAGGAGTAATTCCTGAGTGTAGTAGAGCCAGGAATAACCCCTGAGCATAGCTGGGTGTGACCCAAAAAGCAAAAAAAAAAAAAAGAAGAAGAAAAGAAAAGA